GCGGGAAAGTTGGTGCTGTACCTTCCAGAGTCCAGGAGCACTGATGTGCAATCCCCAGGCAGAGGGCAGGAGGCCGATGACTCCGCCTTACTCCGTGCACCGATTCCCGCCCGTGCTAACCTCCCCCAGGAACACCCTCCCAACACACCCAGAAATTGTGTTTTACCAGCCCTCCGGGTATCCTGTGGCCCGGTCAGGTTGACACATGAAATTAACCAGCACAGTGAGTTGTTGTTTTATTTTTTTTTTTCATTTTACCCATTTTAAAGGATGTATAGAAGTACCTTACTGTGGTTTGACTTGATTTCCCTGATGGCTAATGACGTTGAGCATCTTTTCACGTACCTGTTGGCCATCTGTGTGTCTTCTTTAGAAAAATGTCTATTCAGATCTTCTGCCCATTTTCTTTAAAATTTTTTTTAAATGTGTATTCATTTTTTTGAGAGACAGAGTGTGAGGGGCAGAGTGGGAGGGGCAGAGGGAGAGGGAGACACAGAATCCAAAGCAAGCTCCAGGCTCAGAACTGACAGCACAGAGCCTGATGCGGGGCTCAGACTCACACGGACCGCGAGATCATGACCTAGGCTGAAGTCAGATGCTTAACCACCTGAGTCACCCAGGCACCCCTGCCCATTTTTAATTGGATTTTTTTTTTTTTTTGCTATGGAGTTATATGAATTCTTTATGTATTTGGATATCAGCACCTTATCCGATGTATAATTTGCAAATATTCTCTCCAATTCAACAGGTTGCCTTTGCCTTTTGCTGATGGTTTCCTTTGCTGCACAGAAGCTTTTTAGTTAAATGTAGGCCCATGTGTTTGTTTTTGCTTTGTTGCCTTTGATTTTTGGTACCGGATTCAAAAACCTCATCACCAAGACCTATGTCAGGAAGCTTACCGCCTGTTTTCTGGCGAGTTTCTGGGAGTTTTGTTGTTTCAGGTTTTCCATTCAAGTCTTTAACTTATTTTGAGTTCATTTTTGCCTATGGTGTAAGATAGGGCCCAGTTTCACTTTCTGCATGTGAATATCCAGTTTTCCCAGCACCATTCATTGAAGAGAACATCCTTTTCCATTGTATGTTCTTGGCTCCCTTATTATAAATTAACTGACCATATATGTATAGGTTAATTCCTGATTTTATTCACTTGAGCCCTCTCTCTTTTTTTATTGCTGAGAGTAGCTAAAAGCTGGCCTTTCAATTTTGTTTATCTTTTCAAAGAGCCAACTCTGGATTTCATTGATCTTGTCTATTTAGTCTTTTTCATCCTCATTTCATTTATTTCTGCTCTAACCTGTGTTATTTCCTTCCTTCCACTAACTTTGGGCATCACTCGGTCTTCTTTTTCTAGTTCCTTGAGGTGGAAAGTTATTTATCTGGGACTTTTCTTGCTTTTTTTTGAGATAGGCATTTATGGCTATGAGCTTTCCACTTAGAACTGCTTTCGCTACGTCTCACAGATTTTGGTATATTTCCATTCTAATTCATCGTCGGGTATTTAAAAAATTTCTTTTGGTTTCTTCTTTGACCTATTAGTTGTTCAGCAACATGTTTAATCTCCACATATTTAAGAATTTTCTAGTTTTCTTCGCATAATTTCTAGTTTCATACCATTGTGGTCAGAAAAGGTGGTTGGTATGAATTCAATTCTCTTTTAATTTATTAAGAACTGTTTTGTGGCCTAACATATGGCCTATTCTGGAACATGTTCCATGTGCACTGGAGAAGAATGCATATTCTGCTCCTTTTGGATAGAATGTTCTGTGTATCTGCTAAGTCCATTTGGACTAATGGGTAATTTAAGGCTGAGCTTTGCCTATCATTTTCTTTCTTTAAAAAATTTTTTTAACGTATATTTATTTTTGAGACAGAGAGAGAGACAGAACATGAGCGGGGGAGGGGCAGAGAGAGAGGGAGACGCAGAATCCAAAGCAGATTCCAGGCTCTGAGCTGTCAGCACAGAGCCCAATGCGGGGCTCGCACTCAAGAACCATGACATCATGACCTGAGGTGAAGTCGGACATTTAACCGACTGAGCCACCCAGACGCGCCCCCCCCCCCCCATCATTTTCTGTCTGGATGATCTATGCATTGATGTAAATGGGGTATTAAAGTCTCCTACTGCTATTGTTTTGTTGTCAATTTTTTCTTTTAGGTTTTTTTTTTTCGTATTTGCTTTATGTATTTAGGTGCTCCTATGTTAGACGCATACATTTTTATAAATGCTATATCCTCTTGCTGCCTCTTGCTGGATTGTCTTCTTTATCATTATGTAATCTGATGTCTATTACTTAAGATGTAAAGGCATACACAGATGGAAGGTGAAGGGATGGAAAAAGATATTCCATACAGGTGGAAACCAAAAGAAAGCGGAAGTAGCTATACCTATATCAGACAAAATAGTTTTTACTTTTTTAATGTTTATTCATTTTTGAGAGAGAGAGAGAGCACGAGTGGGGGAGGTGCAGAGAGAGAGGGCGGTGAAGGATCCAATGTGGGTTCAGCACTAACAGCAAACACTTGAACCCCTGGACCGCGAGATCATGACCTGAGTCAATCAATGATCAGACGCTCAACCAACTGAGCCACCCAGGCACCCCGGACAAAACAGACTCTAAAAACAAAAGATAGTGTATATTCAGATGTAATATTTTTTATTCTATTCTGCTTTGCTTTATTTATTTTCCTGGGAATGTAGCCCCTTCCCTCTGCATGGCAGTGTGAGGGAGAAGCTGCTCATTAATATTTCACTTAGAATCAAATTAAGCTGGAATAGGGGGCGCTTGGGTGACTCCGTCGATTAAGCGTCTGACTTAAGCTCAGGTCATGATCTCGTGGTTGGTGGGTTCGAGCCCAGCATTGGGCTCTGTGCTGACAGCTCAGAGCCTGGAGCCTGCTTCAGATTCTGCGTCTGCCTCTCTCTCTCTGACCCTTCCCCACTGGTGCTCTCTCTCTCTCTCAAAAATAAATAAACGTTAAAAAAAATTAAGCTGGAATAGGATTCATCTGTAATTAACCTAACCCCTCACCTCCTTCACCACCCGTGCCTTTTAGATCTTGCTGATATTTGAGGTGGGACAATGTTGGGTTGCAGTTTCCATACTTTTTTGTTTTCTTTTGTATTAAAACTCTGGAATCCAACTATTATGAAATACGTGATACCATACAACTTGCCTCTGATTTCCAGCCCCTCCTCAGTGCCACTTTCTCAGCAAAATTCCGGAGGGGATGGGACTTGTTGGGCAAGACAGTTTGGTCTTGCAATGGGGGCTTCCAAATTCCAGCCTGTCTTGCCAGCCCACACCATCACATAAATTTCATCTCATTTGTCCTTCTCCTCAAAGTCTCTGTTTTTGGCAGACTCTCTCTTCTGCTGGTCTGTACCCCAGACCAGATCCTGCCCCAAGTCTTGAGCTGTTTGGCTCTCTGCTCAACTACGAAGGGCATATTTTTTCACCAGAATTCAGTCCATCAAGGTTTTTTTGCATACCTTGTACGTCCCGTAGAAAATCTTGATTTTTATTTTGTTGTTGTGGTTGTTGTTGTTATGGGATGGAAGGACTTGTGTATCTCTCTGCATCATATCAAGAGACGAAGTCTCAGAAGTTAGTATCTTCTTGATAAAAATAGCCTAGTTGTCAGGCAATAAGGCTGAAACACAGAGATAAGACACCGGTCCACGCCCAACAGGAGATAAATCCCTGAGTAATGTACCAATCTAGGATTTTTGAAGACATAGACATGAGACCAAGCAAGGGCTGTGCACTGTAAGGGAAGATCGAGCATCTTACAGAGAACGAAGACGGAAGAAAGAGAATACAAAGTCGGCTTTTCAGCAGCTCTTGGCAACTTCATACCCTTTCTTCTTTCTTCCTTCTCTGTGCCACGAATACGTGATTGATGTGTGTTTTTGCACGTGTAGCAATTACATATTTCAGGAAGACCTCTTGCGAAAAATATGAAAATAATATGGTTCAATCTTGTGAGTGAAATACTCAATTTGGGAAGTTTCATTTTTATTGTCAATGTTTCTTCGGTGCCAGACAGCTGCCTAGCTCAGCACGTGCTACCTTTATGTAGATAAAGGAAACCAACTACTCGATTTTGGCCAAGTATGTATGAAGAATGAGGAGGAGGATAGGTCGATGAATGACCCTGAAGGCCGAGGAAGGGACTAAGGATTCCTCTCCATGGGAAAAGCTTTACTTAGGTCTCAGGGGCCATGTCCTCTGTTTCCCCAGCACTCTCCAGAACTGCTGGGTTCGGGTTTAAACTGCTTGGCTTCTGGGCCCCAATATTTATTCCCACCACCGCTCCCTGACACCCCACGCCCCTACGAGGCCCCTGACATTCTTCTAACAGGGAGTGGGAGGTCTCTACCAGAGAACAGTCAGTCCTGTGTTACATCTGGCTCGATCATAATATAATTATATTCATTATATTATATAGTAGATGCATTGTGTACATAATATATAATGTATGTAATCAACATAACTATACACAAAACAATTATATATAGTAGAATTATATATAGTCCTATTATATATGATTACATATAACTATAATTACATAATGTGAGTTGTTACCATTTTTAGACTCCTATCGTGTCAACACATTCTTCCTATTCCGTCTTCCCCTACCGCCTTTCGCCCAATAATGCGAACTTGCTTTTCAGGTCTGCCCCTGCTGGACTCTCAGCTCCTGTAGAAAGCCTTCCCCACACTCACCTTGCCTGGGTTAGAGACCCCTGCTGCTCTCCCAGTCCCCCGGATTTTCTCTCTTGCAACACTTACCATCCTCTGTGGGAATTGCGTGTTTAATGGTTGATCTCCCCAGCAAGAACCTCGAGCTCCACGAAGGGAGAGACATCCGCTGCTTTGTCGCTCTTTATATTGCCCGCGCCCAGAAGAGTGCCTGGCACGCAGCAAGCATCCAATAAGCATTTGTTGAACAAACAGTTAATTAATGCTAGGCATTTTGTGTTATACGATGGGAAAAAAATTATCATTGTAATACATGGGCCAGTGTTTCCCCAATCCGCTAGCTCACACTTCCTTTCTTAGTCGCGGCTATAAACCGAGCAAGGGAACTTCACGTGAAACTGTCTCTTTGCCGGAGGAACGCCTTCCTGTCCACATATGATTACACGCTGGAAGAAGATGGGTCAGCACTACCTGTGGACCTTGCTCCTTTGCCTGCAAACCTGTGAGTTCTGACCTTTGTTGGTGCCCTTCCTAGACTTCCATTAAGTTTGAGAAATCGCCCTTGAGGAAGACTTTGACTTGCCCTCTTGGTCTATGTTAGTGCGCACACCCTGGGTCTCAAAAGGTATCCAACTGGCTGGGGAGAGACCTAGGATCCAAACGTAACTGTCCTTCAGCTTTAGAGTTTATATTTCTGAATTTTATCTGTGCCCAGTGTCCAACGGTTTGAGACAAACCCCTCTGCTCCAGAGCGACAGCACTTGGTAAGCCCACCCAGAAAGCCATCTAAAACCTGGAATAACTTAAAAGCATTTCTTTTTGGCCTTAGATTCTGGTGCATGGCTTTTGACAGAGGTGTGCCCTTCCCGGGGATGTGTCCTTGCTCCCCCAGGTTAGAGTAATGCACGCTCGTAATTATCATCGTGGACACTTTATCTCTCTTAGCTCCCTCTGTTTTCAAGCACATTCAGAGCTATTATTATTCTGCTTCTGTCCTCCAAAACCCTCTAAAATAAATGAGGAAGAGACTGGTTATTTCCATTTTGCAAGTAAGTTAGATCTCAAAAAAGAAATGGAGAACTCGAAATACTGTTTTTTTTTACCTCCGGCTTAACAGTAACCTACAAGGACGCATAAATATTTGTTGTTGTTAGTACAAAGAAAACTATGCAACATTAACACAGCTCTGGGAGTGTCTTGTCATTGCCTGTATTTTCTCATTAAATTCAAACAATAGCCTTCTGTATATAAAAATTGACTATGCTCAACATTTCTATTATTCTATTTTTTTTTTTTTTGAGAGAGAGAGAGAGAGAGAGAAAGAGAGCTCACGTGCACATGTGTACCTGTGTGAGCAGGGGAAGGGCAGGCGTAGGGGGAGAGAGAATTCCAAGGCAGAGCCCAATGCGGGACTCGATGTCACGACCCTGAGATCACGACCTGAGCCAAAATCAAGAGTCAGACACTTAACCGACTGAACTATCCAGGTACCCCTGATGACATTTCTAAATCTACATATAGTCTCTCCTACCCCCTTGGGAAAACGGACGAGCAAATTCCTGGCATGTGTTAGAACACAGAGAATCTGGTGGGTTGGGATTTCCTAAAAAGGTAGAAATCAATACACTTTGCTCTCTCTGGTTCCTTTGAGAGCCAATACACTGTGGCTCCTTTCATTTGAGCTCCATGGAGATCGCCACTACCAGGAATAGATATTGTTAATCCCGTTGCATACAAAAAAAGTATAAGCTAAGATCAGATTAAACAATGCACCTAAAGTTTCACAGCCTGAAATTTATAAGGCTTGAAAGGGACAGTGGTTCTTCCATTCCCAGAGCCAGAGATCTTTCTGCTACCCTCTTTCTGGCCTCCTCTCATTAAGTTTTCAACGTCTTTAAAAAAAAATTTTTTTTTTAATGTTTATTTATTTTTGAGAGAGACAGAGTGCAAGCCGGGGAAGGGCAGAGAGAGAGGGAGACACAGCCTCCTAAGCAGGGCTCCAGGCCCCGAGCTGGCAGCCCAGAGCCTGACGTGGGGTTTGAACCCACAAACTGTGAGATCACGACCTGAGCCAAAGTCGGACACTTAACCGACCGAGCTGCCCGGGAGCCTCAAGTTTTCAATTTCTTGATGCTCTTTGAAGTGCTTGCAGATTTACTGTGATCCCTATCACAATACCCAGAGCATGTTTCACAGAACTAGGATAAACGATCCTAAAATTCAGACGGAACCACAAAAGACCCCCAAGAGGCAGAGCAATCTTGAAAAAGAAAGAGTACTGGAGACATCACAATCCCTGAGTTATCCTACAAAGCTGTAGTAATCAAGACAGTATGATACTGGCACAAAAGTAGACACATAGATGAACGGAAGAGAGTAGAGAGCCCAGAAATAAACCAATGATTATATGGTCAATTAATTTTCAACAAAGGAGGCAAGAATATGCCATTAAAAAAAAAGAATGTTCTCCAACGAATGGTACTGGGGAAACCGGACAGCCACATGCAAAAGAACGAAGCTGGACCACTTTCTAGCATCATATACAAAAATAAACTCAAAATGGATTAAAGTCCTAACTGTGTGATAAGAAACCATAACAATCCTAGAAGAGAGCACAGGCTGTAATTCTGCAACATGGGCCATAGCAACGTTCTTCTAGATACCTCTTCTGAGGCACAGGCAACAAAAAGCAAACATAAACTATGTGGACTGCGTGAAAAGAAAAGCCTTTTGCACAGCGAAGGAAACCGTCAAGAAAACTAAAAGACAACCTGCTGAATGGAAGAAGGTGCTCGCAAATGACACATGCGAAAGATTCCTCTGAAATCACTGAAATAAAAGAAGTCTGAGCAGGCAAACTCGTGACTCTTCCATGTTGGAAAACTTTTCTCAAAGAACCAAGACTCACAGTCTTATGCTTCAAATGCCACTCTCTCATCATGACTTGTGACTATGATCCTGACTGACTCTGCACGTGTCTAGCCACCCACCCTCTTGGGTAGAAGGTGGAAAAGTCCCCCACTTCTGCTCCGTGCCCCTTTCCTTCTCTGTGTTCTTTCTCGTGCTCTTTTAATTCTTCCTGTTCTCTACACTTGCTTCAGTTTCTTCAACCCCTCACCCACCTTGCCTTTCCTGCCCTCCAGCGATAATAGTAATAACTAATCACTTATGGATCATTGCTCTACATTGTCTATAGGTATTATTTAGCTTAATCCCCACAATAGCATACGAGACGAGTATTATCCATACCCCAACTTTGCAGATGAAACCCAGAAAACTAGAGATCATTTAGCCAAAGCGTGGAGGAAGTAGGATTTGAACTCCAAAGTCTTTAGACTGAACCACTGAACAAGACTGCCTTTGCCCACTTTGACGCTGACACGGAAGAAAATACTGCCCCCACTGTTGATCGTGATTGCATTTTGGGACTTGTCAGTGGAGAGTGGTGATTTATTCCCGCAAAGACAGGAGTATTCAGGCAGAGAATGGGGCTGGTGGGCAAGTCTTTGACAACAAACAGAAGTGTAGGCAGGCCACTGAGGCAGAATATCCAAGGAAATGACCATATCCAGACATGGTTCAAGTACCAGTCATATCCATATGATGTGAGTTGACTCAAAGTAGCTTCTTCAAAGTAAACGAAGAGAGAGGCTGCTAACTTTCCCAAAGTCTCATGGCTGTCCCATATCCACAAGGTCTTGATGTCCTGTCGAACGTATAACACAGTGAGTGGGAGCATTCCAGAAGTCGATAGTTAGAAGTCTAAGAGGTGAGTGGACCCACTGGGTATCTATCTGTCCACAGATAAGTCCCAACCATCATCCTGGGGGTTAGACACAAGACTGTGTGGCTGGAGAGTCCTGTGAGATCCCACTGGTCACTAGTCCAGAGTCCTTGTAGAGAGCGACTTTCGAGATAAAGATAAAGCCTCTGTTCTAGAAAAAGGTTTGGGCAGGTTGTTGCCAAAATCAGAAAGGCTTCCAAAGCAGAAGCCCAGTTATAGAAAAGAAAAAAATATGTATGGGGGAAACTGGATATCAAGATATCAGATCAAAAATCCAGTTTCCAAATAGAGGCTGGGAAGCTGCATCTGTGTGCCAACACGAAACTAAGAGGAGGCGGCCTGATGCGCTGAGGCATGAGATCAGCATGGTGACTGACCAAGCAGCCAACGTGTCTTCACAATGGGAGCTCCAAGTTCAGTGCTAGGCCACCCAGGCTATTCAGGTGTTTCCTGAATCAAATCTTTCCTGTCCTGAACCTTAGAGACAAGTGAACCTGCAAATCTGGGGTTACTAGGCTTACCTATGCGGAAGCTGGAAAAGAAAGAGGTGTGAGCAATCAGTTGGGGGACAGATGTTGGTGGCACGAGGCACCCATATTTTCTTCATTATACTCAACTTTTGATTGTACGCCACAGAGGCAAGTGGTGATAGAACAGTGGTTGGCCAGGATCCCAACCCGGGTTTGAGAACTTGTGTGCATGTTTGTTTTCGTTTGTTTGTTTTGAAGAAATGGATCAAGTCAACCCAGACCTCAAAGAAGATGACAGAAAGTAAAAAGAATCCAGCCGACAATAGTAGAGTATCGTGTGGGGGTGTCGGTTCCTTTTCTTAAAGCCTCGTGACCGAGGACCTGCCACCCTCATGGAGAATGACACAAAACTGGCTGCTCAACCCTTTGCTTCCTCTCTGGTCTCTGCTTCCCTTCACTCAGTGTAATCTGCTGGAGCGCACTCTCTTCCGGGGGCTGTAGGGCGCAGCCACCTCCAGCCCCCCTTCCGGGGCTACCAAATCGAGGGGGGGTTCTCCCCCGACTTATTGATCTAGGAGAGGCAGTGGGTGGGAGGAGAGGAGGGGATGGTTAGTTACAGCCCAAAAAAGCCCAAGAAATGCTTATTTGAAGGATCCTGGAGATGCCAGGGCACACAGATGGGCGTTAGGCAACAGCACACTGTTCCTTGTTACTGCTTTCGGTGGCAGCTCTGTGCTGGCCTCCTCCAACGTGTCTCCTTGTCCCTTTGGAGTTGCCTGGGGTGTTATTTTCATCCCTGTAACCACAGCTCTTTGCTTGATATAACAAACGCATACAAGCGCCTGCTATATGCCAGGCCTTGTTCTCAGAAATTTCCAAACATTAACTCATTTAACCCTTGTAACACATCTACGGGGTAAGTGCCACTCGTCGCTTCATTTTAAAGCTGATAAAACTGGGGCACAGAGAGGTTGCTCACTTTCCCAGGGTCTCATGGCTGTCCAGGACTCTAGGCTCAGGCAGTCTGGTTTTTCTTCGCTAAGGGGACCCCCAAGCCCACACCCCAGGGTTCCAGCCTTTTCTTGCCTTTGCTTCTCCTGTAGTATTGCTATGCTCTCCCCTCCCTTCTGTGGTCTGGTGTATGAAGTCAGGAAGTCACCCTCATCGAGAGATGTTGTAAATACGGGTCACCTCTTCTTCACTGGCCTCCCAAGGCTGGTCAGCAACCCCTTTATCCTTTTAATCAAT